TCAGCAAAGATACAATACAAATGGGCTAAATAACAAATTGTCTTCTTGGGCCCTATAAAAACCACACCACTAAATAATAATAGCTAGCCCAAATACATATTAAAATACTTATGGCTTAAGTACACACTAAGACGACAATTGGAGAGTGAAATTAAAAAAAGTAGATTTCAATACCAAATAAATTTGCGTCAATGTGTTTATCTGACCCTAATACGATGGTTACGATGGTTAAAATTAAAAAGACAACTAACCAAAGTGGTTTAATTATATTCTTCCCCAAATCAATGCAACTCATATCTTGCCAAATTTAATAAACAAAAAACTTACCAGTAAAAACGGACGGATCTCTTGGGATGGCATGGGAAAAATCATTTATTGATTTTATTAAAAAAATAAATAAAAAATAATCAGAATACATAAGTACAAAATTCAGTAGAATTGTATTAATATTTCGCTCATGTAAATATAAGATGCAAAATTTTGTTGGCCTTTGTTTGTATGGATTTATATCTAATGTTGGGTTTATAAACCAGACTTTTTACTATAAATTTATATCTAATTTATTTTTAATTTATTATTAGTTTATCTTTATAAACTAGATTTTCTACAATAAATTATATCTAGTTTATTTTTAGTTTATTATAGATTTATGAACCATTACAAGAATACAAACTGTAAATTTAAATTTATATATATAGTTTATTTCCAATTTATTATACAAGGAAAATTTATATATAGTATATTTTTAGTTTATTATAGTTATAAAATTACAAGAATACAAACTGTAAATTTAAATTTATGTATCGTTTATTTTCAGTTTATTATACAAGGAAAATTTATACATAGTATATTTTTTATTTTATTATAGTTATAAAATTAATACTCTTATACACACAAAAACCAAACATTCACTCACAAAATTAATGAAAAACTAAATTATAAAATACAACATAACAACAAATAAAAATAAAACAAAATCCATCAATATAAATAACCATAAGAAATATTCATAACAAAATATACAATAATTAACAAACCAAAAAACAATTGCTCTTTTGTCGAATCGTAACAAAAACATATAATTCTTCCACAAAATAACTAAATCAAACATTTGAAAAGTATTTTTCCAAAAGGCTGAATCTACACAAAACATATGTGAATATAAACAATAATAAATCAAAAAAAAGGTCAGGCCTAAGCCGAAATCGATTCTTTATAGCTTAAATACGCATTGACGATCATTAGAAAAAACTTTTCCCCAAATACGTATCATTAAAACTAATTCCAATTATGTTTTCTTGTGGAATTTTTATTCCAAACGAGAAATCGTTTTCTTCTGTAAACATTTTCAGTTTATCTTAAGTTTATTATTTAGTTATTTTAAGTTTATTGTCTAATTTTTACCTTAAGTTAAGTTTATCTTAAGTTATTACTTAGGTTATCTTAAGTTTATCGTTTTCAGTTTATTTTTCAGTTTATCTACACGAAAAACTAATTTGAACTTAATTAGGTTAATTTAAGTTCATTGTCTAATTTTTTACTACATCACAACAAAATAAATAGATAAAAANNAATAGATAGATAGAAAAAACAATGAAAAAATAAAATTAAATTTAAACAACAAATAAAACAAAAAAAAAAACAATTTATAACCATAATAAAATCTTAAATAGACATCAATTTAGTTACTCATCCAATATCAATATGTATACAAACAATAATGCTAAAGAGCCAACAGTTACGGGGCCAACAACCAATGAGACAACTCCAGGTGGGGCTGTCCCACAATACTTTAATGTGGGACAGCCCCACATGGAGTTGTCCAATTGGTTGTTGGCTCCATAACGGAGCCAACTGTTGGCTCCTTAGCATTACTGTGTATACAAAAATTTCAAGGTATACAACAAACTACAAACAATAAACTTGCTGCAAAATACTCCAATCATTACCAAGATTGTTGGAATACTCCAATTATTCCAAAAATAAATGTCAAATCAAGTCAAAATCCATTGACCCAGCTCAGGTCTGCAAATAGTGTTGAAAAAATTACGATTAAAATGAAACCTCGACATTTCATCTATGGCCTACATGTTATTGGAAAGAAAAACTTGAGTTTAGGACAAAAGATTAAATACTAAAATCAAATCTGTCAGTTTAAATCTCATTTTTTAAATCACGACTTATAAAAACACCATTTAAATCCCAGAATTTGACTTCAATATGGAAAAATATGTGAAAAAAAAAACCTAAAAAAAATCTTTTTTTTTTTTAACAAAATGTAAATACATATGGATCATTAGATTCAACCACATGCCCAATCTCTTCAGATGGGTCGGATCTGCGTACCCGGAGCTCCATGCCCGCCTCCCCAATTTCTTCGATACCGTGAAACGATTGCGCAGCCGCCTTGGAGGATCCGTCGGCTTCCCGGATGTTTTCACCCCCAATGGATTCGGGTCGGCCTTGGGAGCTCTCCGCGCCTTCAGATCGACTGCAGGGTGGGTAAAATGCGGCTCCTTCTTCGACCTGAGCGAATACGACGGCGGGTGATTTAGCCGCATCCTTGGTTGCACGGCACCGCACAATCGGACGCGAAGTGTGTATGTGTGTGCGTTCTGTGAAGTGAGAAGCACAGAAGAATCAAAGAAAGAGAGAAATTGAATGAGATTAGTCAAGATATGGAAGATGAAGAATAAACTATGAAAGCAGTATTAACAAAACCAAACCCTTGTTCAAGTAGAAAGGAACATTTGTTAACGTAATAAAAAACAATATCTCATTTTTAAGGAAAAAAACTTGCTCAGTCTCCTCCACTAGGTAATTATCTCAATACTTATTATCCAATCACTTGAGAAGGCGGCCCACCAATACCTCAACATGTACTTGTCCAGTTTCCACGATCTTCACTTCAATTTCCAGCTTTTCATTTCCCTTCAAATTAGGGTTCTTCTCTTCTTCAACTAGTTCATCCTCAAAGATGACATCTTTCTCCAAATTAGCCTTTTTTTCTTCTAAAATCGTGACAAGATTTTGTTTTTATGTTCACGGTTCATTCTAGTTCATGTGGCTACTCTTGAATGGAGTGTACAGAGTGGAGTTAACCCGGAAGAAAAGAAAAAATATTAGATAAAGACCAATTTACATTTGATTTCCAAAATATTGTAGAAATATGAAAATGAAAACTTTTAAGGAACAATAATAGATAAAGGCCAATTTACATTTGATTTCCAAAATATTGTAGAAATATGAAAATGAAACTTGTTTGCATGCATATCTAACTTATCATAATTATTTAAATAACTATTATATAGGGTTGGGTTCAAGTGAGAATGACTCTCATTAGTGAAAGAAATAAGAATATATTTTAGCCATACAATCCGAACATCCAACGACAAAAAATAATCTAAATATTTATACTTATTAAAGGCTTATTAAGGACATATTGGACATTGCATTATTACAACTCAATCACCCACCTATCCCACACACCTACTGTAACGCCCCATTTGAATTAAAATTATTTGAGATTATTTATTGGTTTATTATTGCCATTATTATTATTATTATTATTATTATTATTATTATTATTATTATTATTATTATTAGTTAATATTTATTTGTGATTAAATGCCTAATTGTTTTAAATGCTTTAATCTTAAATAAATTGTGTGTATTATAAATATAATTATTACGGTTTTATTTTATTAAATCGAATCGAGCGAAAATTTTTATTATCGCTTTGTATTCCATTCTGTTCGATTAAATTGGTTACGACTCAATTTGAGTGACATTCCAGCCTTTTTAATTGATTCCCAGCCCAACTTGTATTAGTTCTCTACCCAACTTGAAATAAAAATTTGGCCCAATGTGAGTATTATTCATGGCCCAATTTATTTTGAGCCCAAGGCTTAATCTTCTCCTTCTTCCTCGC